TGCAGAGTCTGGAACTATAAGACCAAGATTAATGTGAACAGATGTAACTGAAACACATACAAAACTACAGATGTAAGTAAAACACACAAAGCTGCATAAGTGAAAAAACGGAGCCCCACAGCGTCCCTTTCTGAAAACCTGACCCTAAACCCTAAACCCTCAACCCTAAAGGATACTACCATTTAGGCGCCATCTTGTCCCCCTACACCTTCGGGTCATGTAGGAACCTTGAACTTCCAGAGTTTCGGGCTTTAGGGCTTGAGAGTTTAGGAGTGAGGGGTTTTGGGTTTAGGGTTTAGGGTTTAGGGTTTAGGGGTTTAGGAGTTAGAGGTTTAGGGTTTAGGGATTTGGGGAGTTAGGGGTTTAGGGTTTAGGGTTTAGGGTTTAGGGCTTGAGGGGTGAGGAGTTTGGGGTTTAGGGTTTAGGGTTTAGGGCTTCAGGATTTAGGAGTTAGGGGTTTAGGGTTTAGGGCTTGAGGGTTTAGGAGTTAGGGGTTTAGGGTTTAGGGCTTGAGGGTTTAGGAATTAGGGGTTTAGGGTTTTAGGGTTTATGGATATGGGGTTGACGGGCTTGAAGGGTTTAGCGTTTATGGATTTATGATAAGGCCTCAACAAAGAGCTCGCACATGTTCTAATTGATTGTGTTAGTCGGATCCCATTATAACGCTACTTACGAAGTCCCTGAGCCATTAATGCCGCGGGTGCCACCGCGCGGGCGCGCCCGCTTCTTTCGCGCTTGCGTCAGCACGCAGTCCCACTCAAGTCTCCCAAACTACGTATTCTCAATCAAGTCGGGTTTAGGGTTCTCCGGATCACCCACATAAAGACGATTAGGAGTTACGATGCGAAAGACCTCGACAGCTGTGTGGCTGTGGTTCTCATCACCACTCAAATCTGCCAAAGAACCGCTCTGCTGCATCCTCCTCGCACGCCTTCTGCGGCGACGCGCTTCTGATTGAAGCTGGCTCCTCTGCAGGGGGAATCCGACAGGGCCAGACAGAGGTTTCTCAAGGCAACATATCGAAAATAAACGCGAGGGAGCTGAATTTATCTGAATGATCAAGGCCAAGGCATCTGCCCCTTGGGAAAGTCAAAAGGAATGTTGACTGATCACACCGGCCAGCAAAAGCAGGTTTCAAAACCAGAAGAACTTGTAGCAGTAGTGGCGGTAGTAGCAGAAGTAGCAGCAGAGGTAGTGCAGAAGTCGTCGACGTGGTCAGCAGTCAGTATACATGATCTAGAATTGAGAATCTAGATAGACAAATAATTAGTTAAAGGCAATAAGATCTTCTTTTTATTATATCTTTCGTAGCTATCAGGTAATTTCAGATATATCGGGGCAGCCATAATTTATTTGATTCAGAGGATATCTTGAATAATGATCATATACATATATTCTCGTAGTCGTAGTAGTAGTAGTAGTAGTAGTAGTAGTAGTAGTAGCAGTAGTAGTAGTAGTAGTAGTAGTAGTAGCAGTAGCAGTAGCTGTAGTAGTAATAATAATAATAGCAATAGTAGGCAAAAGTAGCGATCAGCCAACGTAGAGGAAAGAAGAAGGAATTGGAAGAGGAGGAGAAACAGCGACAGCAGCAACAGCAGTTGCAGTGGTAGCTGCTGTTGCTGCGGTAGTGGGAGGTCGCGATAATAGTAGCGTTCCAGTGGCGGCACTTGTGCTTACAGCAGTGGACGGAATCCATTCCGTTCTTGCAGGTCTTGCAGCCATACCTGTCTCCCAGCGACTTCTGAAGACTTAGCAACAATAGCACCTCACACGGTTTAGGGTTTCGGGTTGAGTCTTATAAATCAATTTTCAATCCCTCTGTATGATGCACTTCATTGCCGCTCACCTTCGCACGCGTGCAGTGGCGGCATTGCAGAAATGGCAATGGGAGCACTCGTCACCTGCAGAAGGGCGCTTTCACGGTTCTACCAAATTCTCTGTAAGGGCATAGGGGTTTAAGGTTCGGGTTGAATACTTACCCTGAGCCCTAAACCTTAAACCCTAAACCCTAAACCCCTAAATCCTAAACCTTAAACCGGGGTTCGGTTTATTCTGCAGGCTTTGCACATCGGCATGATGTTTTCAGCGGGTTGCTCCCAGGCACCGGAAGAGTGAGAAAGGCAGCGCAAAACCACAACGCATATCTCTGTCAAAAGTTCACACAACCCAAACCCTATACCCGAATGCGACCCTAAACCCTAGCTCGACTTCCAAGACGACACCGGCAAAAGTGACTGATCCCCATACGAGCCTTTCCAACAGCCATCTTCGCCTGAGTTCGCCAATAAGTTCACAGGAGGAGGCCCGCATTTTTGGCTAATCCAAAACGAGCACTCCAAACCCTAAACCCTAAACCCTAAACCCCTAAACCCCTAAACCCCTAAACCCTAAACCCTAAACCAAGTTGCGGGCTTGGAGTCTAGGCCCCACACAGTGACGGCAAAGACCATCACCGGCAGACCACTCGAAGACCCCACCCTTTCCCGCCAAACCCTAAACCACCCTAACTCCTAATTAAAACCCCAAACCTCTCTTTCTAATGTATGTAAACTTTAGTGGCGATTTTGGTTGTTTTTTACCATGACCTACGAAGACATTGCCATTGCCCAAGAAGAAATCGCCGTTGCCTACGAAGTCCCGCAAATTTTTCCCATTGCCCACGAATTTCGTGTGCAATGGCGGTTTCTTCGTTGGCAATGGCGAAAGTTTCGCGAAGCTTCGTGGGCAATGGCGCTTCGTGGGCAATGGCGATTTCTAGGCTTTTGGGCCTTTGGGTTTAAGGCCTTAGGCGCTGGGGCTGCGGTTTTACGGGCTCCTTTGTTCGGGCTTAGGGTTTAGGGCCTAGGG